ACATTAATCTTGAATAATTTTAATTTTAAACTCAGTGCCATCAAATAATGCCAACTAAGTAGCTTTCGTGGTTTTGAGAAATGTACAGTTTTGGTCTGTACTGGCTTTTCCTCTGTTACAGGGGAGAAAAGTAGCAAATATGGTTCCATCATCAATGTCAGTACATTGTCCTGGCCTGGACAATCTGGAGAAAAAAGGCCATTTGCTAAGGTACTTACTGGTTAATTTTTATTGCTGTAACTGAATCTGTGTTTAGCCACATCTGATTCAGTGGGGGTTTTTTTGACCCAGGTTCTGTTCCTGGCTCTGAATCTGTATCATCCAGTATAAATTAAAATTCTAATTAAAAAAATACTCCAGTATGTCCAAGTTCCCTACAAGATGGGGATGATGTTAGTTGTCTACATGGATAGTGCCCTTTAATGACCAGAATAAAAATACTTTTAGAAAATCTAAGGGTTATAGGCAGCAGAGACCTCAGCACATACTCTGTGGCCATAAATTACGAGGATGCTTTCTTATGAGAGGCAAGTTGCTGTTTTCTAACGTAGATTGCACTGTCCTTCATAGCCCACAATACAGATTAAGCGACACTGATTTGCTGTTATTTTTTTTGCATTTTAGTCCCTCCAAAAGCAGAATGCAGAATGTAACTGTCACAGGAATTGGTCTGAGTTTCCTCATTTACTTTATTTCTGCTCTGTTTGGGTACCTGACATTTTACGGTAAGTGTATTCTTCAAGTATTCTTTAGAGTGAAGAAGAATAATAAGTGATAAATGCATTCTGTCCTGAGTACTTCAGGCTTGTTTGTGTGTTGGTACACTTGAATCCTCACAAATCCTGTTCTGAAGAGTTACTGTGCAGTATTACAGTCTCACTGATTTCTCAACATGAAATGTAGTTGAACTTTGCAGGTTTTATCCCCTAAAATGCTATACATACAAACTATTGGTCCCTAAACTGTAGCTGGTGGTCTGTTGATGCTCTCTAATGCTATGTAATTAGACTACTGATTGCCACTATATGTTGGACTGTGTAATATTTTCATTTAAAAGCTGGGACCGGTTTATCATGGCCTGAGAGAAATTTTGAAATCTGACAATATTCTGCTTGTCCAGCAAGTTTGAAAGGCCTGTTCTAAGGCTATATCTTCTAGCAATATCTATAATTTCCTAGCCCTGTGGTATCCCAGCACATTTCTAGTTTCTAAGTAGCACTGAGGCTGTTGCATTTATGGGAGGAATTTGACCTGCAGCAAGCTGGCCCTCATGCTAGGGAGGTGTGGAGGTTTGCAGCATCTTCTCCCTCTCCAGTACAGGTTGGGTACAAAGCATGTACGGCTTCTTTGTTTTGTTTTTGTATTTTGACAAATTATTTGGAGTTAACACTAGCTATTTCACTAGGAATCAGCTAGAAGTGGAAAAAAATTCCTGTGAATCGTCCAGTTTAGGAAAGCTTTATTGTAAAGGATTGCACAGAGCGATGACTTTGTGATACCTTTGTTTATGTGTAAAGTAAAGACAAACTAGAGGACTCCAGTTGGGGGGGGGGTTTTTTTGCGGAAATTGCAGGGGACGTAAGAAAATTAGACAGTCTGAATCAGGGAAAGTGCCCATCTAGTTTGGTGACTTGACTGCAGCGGAGGGCAGTGATGAAGGACTAGGGAAGGACTGAAAAATTGGAAAGGGTAAGTTTTGAG